ATAACAAATCTCGGAGAATTCAGCCAATATTTTGCCAAATTATTAAAGTCATAGTAATTTGAACCTTCACCCAAATAGGATACACACAAATGAAATCTAAAACATAATAAAAAAAATTAAAAAATTATGAAAGGTTGAATGAAATGAGTTGGCATTGTCTGTCATTGGCGCTGTAATTTCCTCCACCGTCAAGCGCTTAGAATCTTCGAATCGGGAGGTCAACCCCCCAAAACCCTTGGCTTTGGCTTTTGTAAAGGTTGAATAAAATAGAGGCGAAAAGTGTCTTTCTCCAAATGCCAAAATGTAAAAGTGGACAAAATCAACATTTTATCAATTAATTCTGTGGTTGGGTCCGAGTTGACTCAGTGTGGATCCGAGTTGGTTGTAGGTCCGAGTTAGTATCGGGTCCAAGTTGGTTGTGGGTCTGAGTTGGTCGTGGGTCTGGGTTTGTATTGGGTCCGAGTTGGCATGGGTCCGAGTTGGTTTGGGTCCGAGTTGACTCGAAACCCTGCCAATAGACATACAAGTAACTGCAGCTGACAGGCTGCAGACAGAATTAATCAACATGGAGCTACATGTAACTACTTTTATCAGGGGAGCAGTATTACTACACTGGCCACGACACACCTGCAACAGTATATTCTGTTTGAGAAGTTTGTTTGCGCTACTATAGTACGAAGATAAAGAAGTAGGCCTACCCCAAAAAATATGCCCTCTTTTGTTCCGCTCGGAGCGGATAGGCCTACGTTACAATGCCATCTCTGAAGTTCTCAAATGCTACATTCGTATGCAAAAAATAAAAATGAACGATACAACAGAGCGGACTGTTTTACAATACATGTAATTCGTATTTCGTACAGCTAGGCTATCACATATTTCAAACTCAGCAAACATACCATAATTACTCGCCGCCAGCGTTATCCGCCATATCTGCCCTGAGCTTAAGTGCACCCCCATACATCGGCGAAATAACTTTAAGAAGACAGATGGGGGCTGGAGGACCATGGTTGAGTTCGGGCGCCCTGTTCTGCTTGACACGGGTTTCTTGTTCTCGGGCTCGAACGGCGGGAACAAGACTCAAGAACACTGTCAGTGACTGGTCTCGAAACAGGATCACACACCACCTCACGTCAGGGTTTTACAGGAGCACACAGAAAAACTCATGAGATTTTTATTTTTTAAACAGCTGCAAAATGTAGAGAGATGGCTTCCAAAGCCAGAGACAATGGGAAGTTTTAGAGAATTAACATTAGGGCCTGGGCCTATTTTCCGTAACACAGAAATGAGTGTTCCTGTTTAAAAAATAGAAAAGAATTCAGCCCATCCAACAACGTACATGTACATGGACACCGTTATGTCGCTCGCCACATGCACAAAACGTACCAGCCATAACCGTTTGTTTGCTCCCGGCGTTCGATATCGAGCGGCCGACCCATATCAAGCTGTTCGTTTCATTAGTACCATTCGACGTCTGGAAATTAACGACTTCGACCGTGAGCGGCGGTTACTCGACCAGACCCTCGTGAACCATACGGAATTGTCCTTAGCAACTTGCCAGTAGGCCTACTGTACTGTTGAGCCTTCGTTTTAAAGACTTCGTTTGGACAAAATTAACAAATGAAACTCTTTGTATGTTCTACAGAAGGCTTAAACTGAATAAAACACAACTGAATCGTGAAACAAAATGCTACTTAAATGTGAAATTTAGCCTCAACATGGTTGCTAAGATCTCTTGGTCTTTTTTCACACTAAATTTTTCTCAGAACAGTGAGGCACTGCATGCGACAGGCAAGAATCTCAACTACACAATAAAATCAGTTTTATCTGGCTAGATTTTTTTGTTTGCCTTTCAAAGGCTAATTAAGACACTTCAGCGCAGCGTGATCTACGTGTTTATGCACAAAGCCGACCATGGCCACGTACCGCGCACGATACATTAATCACGCGTTCATGGATTGGATAAGAAGTGATGGCTCTATCCCATTTGGAGACGTTCTCTCGTACAGACTGATTAAAAGAAATAATTTTTGGGTGCTTTCGAAAAAAAAACACACGTTTATTCGAGGGTGTGTCATTGTGTGATTTATTTCCACGGTGGAGACAGTAGTAGAACCTTGGGAGGGAAGAAATAATTTAAAGAAAGTAAACTAGTGTAGACCGGAACCATATTTACCCAAACAGTGGGTTGGGTCAAGTTTTACCTGAGAAAATAGCCGTGCGGGAATGCATTTTCGTTCCTTAGGGAACTCATCAGCCGCATGATTCAAAAATGAATAAAAATGAGTGCAGGTATGGGTTAGTGAGTTGAATGACATTCACTTGACGGAAAAGTGGTTTAGCTCCGGTTGGAACAAAGTTTATACGTTTCCCAGTGATATTTTCTCCGTGGGGAGAGTCATAGCTTGGAGGGATTCATGATCGGTGAAATGTTCGCTTAGTTTTTCCGCTGGGTGGATTGGGATTGCATTTGGAGATTTGAGCAATTATGGGCAAATCTGATGCATGGCTTTGAGTTTTCCTTTTAGTGATAAAGGCTAGTTTTCCTCCTAGTCATAGTAACTGACATAAACAGTCGTGTTGCCATAAGTAGCAGTTATGGTAACACAGTGAATTTATCTCTTTTTGGAAGAGGTGGTGGCTCTGAAAAAAGACGTTTTGTGTTTAGTGATGGCGACTCGATAGGGTTAGCGTATGTGCCATGAGTCTTCACAACCCCAAAATACTCAATGTAACATACCTGAGAATTATTTGGAATCCACCAAGATGCAAGTAGCCCACATCAGACCATCCTCCATGATCAGACTGAGAAACACGCAAGCCAACATGTCCAGATCTGAACTGGTGGCTATTCGCAAACTCAAACACAACCCACTTGTTGTCATCGAATCCTACAACAAAGGTCAAGGCATTTGTATCACGAACCGAGAGGACTTGTTGCACGTTGGTTTCAAACATCTCAGTTCCCACCACTAAGAAAAAGTAGACAGGGACATGAGGCCTGAAACCTCCTTCAAAGTTACCAAGTCCTTACCGACATGATATGCATTTTTTTTTTTCAGCCAACCCTTGGATTTCGGTTGTTTTTCAGTGAGGGAAAGCAGTACATTGCAGTGTTGCGTCTTGCTCTGGCTGTACAAAGAAGCCCCAGTCCTAGGGGATTGGGTTGGGCTCTGTTACGTTGAGTGTAAGTTCAGCTCTCACTAGTTTTTCTCGGATGTCTGGGCTTTCCTAAAAGGAATGAGTGGCGGTTTCGGGAGGATTTCCAAGGATAGAGCATAGCATTGCTTTGAATGATGTGCCCATGTCTGTTCTTTGTTTGATGTAGATCAGGGTGGTTGTAGGTAGTAACGAAGACTTGTTTGTTCTAGTTTGCGCGGTTCGTTGCATCCTTTGTATTATTTATTAACCTTGGTAGTTCGGCATGAATTTGGGGGCTTCCATGTATTCTTCTAATGTTGCACTAGGTGTTGATTTGGGTGCTGGGTTGATGAAGGTCGGAAAGGGTGGATTTTAGATCGGTTTGTGCATTTGGAATGCGATACTTAGTCTTCGATTAAAAGCGTCACGTCGCCTTGTGAGCGTTGTACGGTTTGGTTTAGTGGGGGTGGGAATAAAGTGGAGACCTTTTCCTAAAGCGATTTTTACGGTTTGTTTCGCTTCGGATGGGTCGGTCATGCATGCGTCATACCATTCCGCTAATAAATTACCCGGTTGGATTTGGTAGTCTTGGCTTTTATTTGGCATGTTGTGAGGAAACTATTCTTTTTCCGCTGAATGCGTCTTTTCTTCATTGTTTAGTTTTCTCATGTCACTGCTTTGACTTGGTTTGGGAGTGAAAGGAAATATCGTTTATGGGTATGTGGTTGTATTCCTCAATTCAGACATACTATGATAGGACGGAATACATGAGGGTTTTCTTGGTGATATTCCTGAATTGAAATTGTGTAGGGTAGCAGTGGCTGGAAATCTCTCTTTGGAGGACGTGATGGTCTTGAAGGGAGTTTTAAGTGGGTGCTTCCTCTTCAGTCCTCTTGTCGAGTGGAGTAATCGAATAGGTTTCGCCGTTCGTTTATGTAGTTTCCTCGACCGTTCGAAGAATTAACTCTGTAGCTTTGTGGCCAAGGTGGACGTACCCTGATCTCAAAGTAGTTTGGCAGTGTTTTGGTTTCGATTGCCTTTGATAAGAGACGTGCTTATCGGGTGGTGTGGTTCTTGACAGAGACCAGCCGGTTCGGATTTTTTCTGCCAGATTCTTCACCAATTTGAGTTGTGTGTCATCAGTTCGGCGGTGGGAGACTCGCTCTGTGTTGATGGGTGTTTCAGGGGACGGCTGGTCCAGTGAAAGAAGTAAAGAATCTTGGTCACTGGAGGCGTCTTGGCGTTGTTGCTGTCCGTAGATGATGTTTGAGCCAGAGCTGAGTTAAGATGGTGGTGTTAAACGGCTGGCCTTTTTCTTGTTCCTGTCCGACGATTTACTAAGTTTAGACATTTTTGTCCTCTCAACTTTTGTCATAGCAGTGGGAATACCTCAAATCAAAATGTTTTAAAATTTTAATTTTGTTTTATCTCACCAAGTGAATATTCAAAGTTATTCGATTTACATGTGCTGTTCATAATTTCTCTTTATTCATTTTTGATTTACAACTGTTATTGGACCACAATTTTCATTTGAAACAAATCAGAATTATCTAATCATTCACATATATTTCCCAATCACTCATGAAGTACATTCTGGGCCCAAACGAAGAAATACTGCTTTATTTCAAATCTGCCACTCGGGAGCCGTACTTGAAACCATTTTCAATGTGATCAACGGTAGGAAAACAAAGGATGCTAAAAACAAATTAATAAGGATTGAAAACATGCACCAAATTATTTAATGTGTGTATTAAAAGTACAAATACCACAAATATGGCTATAATTTATGGATTTATCACTTTTTGCAAATTTTGGCGTCCATATTGGTGACCCTTACAGCCCTATCTTGAATGTGAAGCATAATGGCAAAGAGCAATCACCAAAAATAATTTTTTTTAGAGCACATAACATGTAAATAACAATTTTATTTTAGATTTTTGTGTATACCTTGACTAATATAATGCCTTTTCCCACTTTAGACCATTTGCCGGCCATTTTGGCCGCCATCTTGGATATCCTCAGAGCATCTTTTTTTTCCAATGTTAACATCTAAAATGTGTTACAGGATCTTAAAATGCCATTAAAAATATTGATGTCGTTTAGTTTTTTGGGGGGATGGGTGCACAGGGGGTCCCCCATACGTACTCAACTAAATACTCTTTTTCGTATTTTTGGCTACCTTGTAGGCAACTAAAGGAGGTTGGGGTAAAACTTCCTTTATAGTGGATTGCTGGAGATGAGGTGCCAATTTTTAAGAAGAGCGTTCTTGATATCTGTGTTTCACGTGACCATTGTGGATAGAAAGACGAGGAGAAGATCCTTTTTGTGTTTCACTTTTTGTTCGTTGTGAATCATAGATCCCCGTTGCCGGAAATCAATGGATGGCATCAATTTGCGAATCTCGGCTTGATTGCAGCCTCGTTTCAATTGTTTTTCTACGAAACTTTGTGTGTTTTTTTGTTTGTTTTTTCAGAAAATCATTCCCACTATTTGTATTTCTGGCGTATCTTAGGATTTCTCCTTTGATGAAGCCTTGGAATACGTGTTGTGGGTGGGATGCAGTTCTGTCAAGGTACAGGAACGTTTCTGTAAGTTTCGTGAATACGCAGTAGAAAGGAAACGTGGACCTTGAGAATTGTAAGGTCTAAGTAGGTAATGGAAGTTTTGGATGCCTCAAACATGAATTTGGGAGGGTAGGATGCAATTGGTTCAGGTGAACAAAATGGGTGAAGGATTCGAGTTGACCATTATAAACAATAAAAAAATATCGTCTCTGAGACTAGCCCAGAGGAGGATTTGGTCCATTGGGGCTGAGATTTCTGACTCAAATTCACGTAAACCATATCGCAAATTTCTGGACTGGCTACTTATCCCATTGCACATCCGATTTTTGGTCTGAAGAAATTTCCTCCAAACTGAAAGAAGTTGTAACCTAGAACAAGTTCTAGGAGGGTGCCGACGTAATTGGATG